TTTTTAGTCTCATAGTGTTGTGGTCACAAAAAATCCTTGATATGATTTCAGTTTTCTCAAATTTAGTAAGGTTTGTTCTGTGGCCTAGCATGTGATCTATCCTGGAGAATGTTCCATGTGCATTTGAAAAGAATGTGTAGTCTGCTGCTTTTGGATGGAATCTTCTATCTGTATCTGCTAAGTGTTCCTGATATAATGCGTCATTTGAGGCCAATGTTTCCTTAGTGATTTTTTTGTCTGGATGATCTGTTCATTAATGTAAGTGGGGTATTAAAAGTCCCCTGCTACTATTGCGTTACTGTCAATTTCTCCCCTTATGTCCATTAATATTTGCTTTATGTATTTAAGTGCTCCTATGTTGGGTGTATATATATATATATATATATATATATATATATATTTTAAAATTTTATTTATTTTTTGGCTGTGTTGGGTCTTTGTTGCTCTGTGCGGGCTTTTCTCTAGTGCAGTGAGCAGGGGCTACTCTTCGTTTTGGTGCATGGGCTTCTCATTGAGGTGGCTTCTCTTGTTGCAGTGCATGGGCTCTAGGCACACGGGCTTAAGTAGTTGTGGTGCGTGGGCTCAGTAGTAGCGGCACACAGGTTGTAGGGCGTGCAGCCTTCACTAGTTGTGGCTCACAGGCTCTAGAGCGCAGGCTTAGTAGTTATGGCCCATGGGCTTAGTTGCTCTGCAGCATGTGGGATCTTCCTGGACCAGGGCTCGAATCCGTGTTGCCTGCATTGGCAGGCGGATTCTTTTTTTTTTTTTTTTTGTGGTACGTGGGCCTCCCACTGCTGTGGCCTCTCCCGCTGCGGAGCACAGGCTCCGGACACACAGGCTCAGCAGCCATGGCTCACGGGCCCAGCCGCTCCGCGGCATGTGGGATCCTCCCAGACCAGGGCACGAACCCATGTCCCCTGCATTGGCAGGTGGACTCCCAACCACTGCGCCACCAGGGAAGCCCGGCAGGCGGATTCTTAACTACTGCGCCACCAGGGAAGTTGTGGGTGTATATATATTTACAATTGTTATATCTTCTTGAATTGATCCCCTGATCACATGTAAAGTCCTTCTTTGTCTCTTGTAGAAGTCTGTTTTAAAGTCTATTTTTTCTGATATAGATATTGTTATTCAAGCTTTTTTTGATTTCCATTTGCATAGAACACCTTTTTTCTATCCCCTCACTTACAGTCTTTGTGTGTCTTTAAGATATGAAGTGAATCTTTTGTAGGCAGCATATACAGGTCTTGTTTTTGTATCCATTTAGCCACTCTGTGTCTTTTGATTGGGGCATTTAGTCAGTTTACATTTATGATGATTATTGATTATGTTCTTATTGCTATTTTGTTCATTGTTTTGGGGTTGTTTTTGTAGGTCTTTATTTTTCTTTCTTCTTTTGTTCTCTTGTGATTTGATGACTATCTTTAGTGTTAGATTGTAATTCCTTTCTCTGTTTTGTGTATCTTTTATAGATTTTTTTGGTTTGTGGTTACCATGAGGTAGGGGGGTGTGTGTGTGTGTATGTGAGAGAGAGAGAGAGAGTATGTATATGTGTACGATTGTTTTAAGTTGCTTATCTCTTAATTTGAAATGCGTTTTAACAACCATGCATTTGTACTCTCACAGTTATTGTTTTTGATGTCATTATTTTACATCTAATTATTTTGTGCATCCCTTAACTGCTCATTGTGGATATAGATGGTTTTACTTTTGTAATGTAACCTTCCTAGTAGCTTTGTATGTCGATGATTTACTACCTTTACTGTATATTTGGCTTTACTGATGAGCCTTTTCCTTTCATAAGTTCCAAGTTTTTAGTTGTGGTCATTTCTTTTTGCTTAGAGAAGTTCCTTTAATATTCCTTGTAGTGCTGGTGTGGTGGTGCTGAACTCTTTTAGCTTTTGCTTGTCTATAAAACTTTTGATTTATCCATCAAATCTGAACAAGAGCCTTGCTGGGTATTCTTGGTTGTAGGCTTTTCCCTTTCATCACTTTAAATATATCATGCCACTCCCTTCTGGCCTGCAGAGTTTTTGCTGAAAAGCCAGCTGATAGCGTTATGGGAGTTCCCAGTATTAACTTCTTGCTTTTCCCTTTCTGCTTTTAATATTCTCTCTTTATCTTTAATTTTTGCCGTTTTTAATTACAGTGTGTCTTGGTGTGGTTCTCTTTGGGTTAATTCTGTTTAGGACTCTCTGTGCTTCCCAGACTTGAATGTCTTTTTCCTTTCCCAGGTTAGGCAAGTTTTCAGCTGCTGTGTCTTCAAATTTTTTCTCAGCTTCTTTCTCTCTCTGTTCTCCCTCTGGAATCTCCCTATAATGTGAATATTAGTGCCACGTAATGCTGTCCCAGAGGTCTCTTAAACTCTTCTCATTTCTTTTAATTATTTTTTTTTTCTGTTCAGCATCAGTGATTTCCACTACTCTGTCAGCTAGCTGATTCATTCCTCTGTGTCATTTGATCTACTGTTGATTCCTACTAGTGTTTTTCATTTTAGTTATTGTATTCTTCATCTCTGGTAGGTAGTTCTTTATATTTTCTAACTCTTTGTTGTAAACTTCTAACTTCTTGCTCTGTGCATCCATTCTTCTCCCAAGTTCTTTGATCATCTTTATGATTATTACCCTGAATTCTTTCTTGGATAGACTGCCTGTATCCACTTCACTTAGTTCTTCTTCTGGAGTTTATCTTGTTCCTTCGTTTGAAATATGTTCCTCTATCACCTCATTTTCCCTAACTTAAATTTCTATGTATCTGGTAGGTTGGCTTCATTTCCTGAGCTTGGAGAAGTGGCCTTTTGCAGGCGATGTCCTGTGTATCCCAGCAGTGTACTCCCCTCTCATCACCAGATCTGTATGCTCTAGGGATGCCTCCTCTGTTGGCTGTGTGGCTCCTCCTGTTGTGGCAGGCTGACTGGTGTGAGCAGTCTAGTAGGCTTGGTTGGCCCCTGGTCCAGTTGGTTGCCAGGCCCTGCCTTGTGCACAGGCTACTCCCTGCTAGTTGCCAGGGTTGGGTCATGAGGTGGCTGGCTGTGGAACCCCAGGGGGCCCTGGGGCTAGTGCTGTCTCAGGGGTCAGCAGAGTCAGGGTCCAGGAGACCCCAGTTAGGGCTGGTGCCTGCCCACTAGTGGGTGAAGCCTGGTCCTGGGGCTAGTGCTGGTCTACTAGACTAACCGCTCCTTTTAAATATTCAGTTCCCACCTGTGGTCTTACATTGCTAAGCCTTCCTGAAGTTCTCTAACAGTGATCAATTCTGGCATTCTCTTTTTTATTTTTGGGTTTATCTGATGGAGGAGGAAGAGGCAAAAAATCTTTATCATCTTGAAACCAATGTCAATTATCTGTCTTTACTAATAGACTGTGATATACATGAGGACAGGGGATTACCTTGGTTTCTCTGGATGAGCAAAATGCGGGGCATATCTTAAATGCTCATTAAATATTTATTGAATGACTAATACTTCGTGTAACTATTTTGCATTCGCCACATTCCCATTCATAAAGCCTCTATTAGGGCAGGTGGCATTATCCTCAGTTTTCAAAGAATATGACTATTTTTAAACTTCTTAGTATCTGTGACCAAATTAGTTGCTTTTCCAAAGGGCTGCATTACCATGAACAATCATATGAAACCCAGGGCACAGGGTTTCCTTACTCTTAACCTATTATTTACCCCCAACCTCCCTGTCCTTCCCTCCAACAAGAAGTAAGTCAGTAAGAGACTCCCAGGCACTAAGATGGTATTTTGATTTGTCTCCCTGGTCACATTTTCTCCCCACATATATACGGAAACCTGATTTTACAAATCTGAAAGTTCCTCTACAAGATATTTTTCTTTGTAAGCCACTCTTGGAGCTGGCCAAAGTGACAAAACAGAGTTATGAGGGTGAGGAAATGAGATGCTGTGGGTTTAGTGCTGTATCTTATGACTTCCTCCTCAGATCCCAAATGCTAGAAACAATCCATGACTATTTTCTTATATAAAGCTACTTATTAAGCAGAACTCCAGAGCATTAATGGTATCAGAATTCATTCACTTTTATAAAACCAAAAATGTTTAAAGGTAACATGTCTCCTCACATCAGGGGAGAGATGGGTATTTAGGGGGGTGACAATGAGTAGAGTGCAATTGGCAGACTGTCCTCCCAAGAGGTGCAGGTCTCATTGAGAGAGATCAGGACATATCCAGCCTGAAAATAGCTGCTTGTGCACTGCTGCCTTCCCTTCTTTTCCCCCTTTTCTTGGCAGAGTGCTAGTAATGTCATTTATAGCCAGGTTTATTTTTACTTTATAAAATCAAATGTGTATTTTAAGAAATACCTTTCTCAAGCTGAGAAATCAGTTTAAATCTTATCTGATAGGTGTTTAAGGAATATCCATGTGCTCAGCTATTTTTTAAAAATAAATTTATTATTTTTGGCTATGTTGGGTCTTTGTTGCTGCGCGCGGGTTTTCTCTAGTTGCGGCGAGCAGGGGCTAATCTTCGTTGTGGTGCGTGGGCTTCTCATTGTGGTGGCTTCTCTTGTTGTGGAGCACGGGCTCTAGGCTCATGGGCTTCAGAAGCTGTGGCTCGCAGGCTCTACAGCGCAGGCTCAGTAGTTGTGGCGCATAGGCTCAGTTGCTCCGTGGCATGTGGGATCGTCCTGGACCAGGGCTCGAACCCGTGTCCCCTGCATTGGCAGGCAGATTCTTAACCACTGCGCCACCAGGGAAGCCCCCTGTGCTTCAGCTATTATGAAAACAACGGAGAGTAGATGGAAAGGTGAAGATTATTCAGCAGCAAGATTCTACTAGTATAAAATACAGCTCTGGAAGGGCAGCATTCTTGATGGCAGGGAACGTGCTACTTCTGAGACTAGTGAGGGCATGTCCTGTGAAAATTGGCAGGGCTGAATACAGACTCTCCAGCCCTCACAGGACTACGTCCTCTAAGAATTCTTTATAACTGCTCTTCTGTTCACATTGTAATGTTTTTCCCCAATGTTCTGGCCTTCTTCACAGACACTATTAGAAAATTGAAGTTCATGTAGAATTAGTATTACATGGCTCAGCATTTGCCTTTTTTCCACTGTTGACTGGGACCTCTGTGGGAGTGAAGAGGGGAGCTAGAGTTGTAAGTAGTTTTTGTTAATACTTCACACCTAGGGAAACACGTTGGTGGGAAGTGGTCAGAATGAGAGAAAATGATGTTTTAACCTTAAGGGAATGTTTAATCAGATTATTTCTTTAGCGTTACTCAGAAAATGAACTTTTTTTTTTCTGGTCTGGGTGAAATTATTAATTATTAATAATTAATAGAAATTATTAATAGCTGTTCTAAAAGGGAGGGGAAATAATTATGAAAGTATACTGAAGCTTCTTATAAAATATTTTTTGGTAAAATAGGTCCATGTTTCAGCACCCTCACTGGTGACAGTTACTGAAACAGCAGATGCATCTCATTAAAAGGCAGTTAGGCTACAGACTCTGAGGACAGAGTTAGAAGGGAGGCATTTCCCTGCACAAAAGGGAACCAGAGATATGCTAAGTGCTTAAAACTAGTTTTGAGCTTGTTTTGGGCACTAGTATTGAATAACCATTTGCTAGTTTGGCTATGTCCAATTATAAAGAGGTTAAGAATGATTATTCTGTTGAGAATATTGTGTCTAGCTACATTGATGAGAAAGATAATATATGTGGAAGTCCTGCTAACACAGAACTTAGAAAAGGGAAAGTAATAGATAAGTTCATCGATGGCCACCCATGCAAGGGTAAGAAAATCCTAATTCTAAGGACTAGCTCTAGACTCCCAAACAAAAAAAGATCCACAGAAGTGCCGATTTATGATGTCTCCACAGGGCTTAGGAGAAATAATGTGCAGCCATGATTTATATCTCTTTGATTACATATTTACCATATAATTTTCAGAAAACAAATCCCAATATTTGGAAGTACTGAATTCGGCAGTACCTAGACCTACTTCTGGTGCATAACCAGATGAGCTTTCTATCTTAAAGTTAATTTTTTTCTATTGAAAATATTGGCATTAACTTTTTTTTAAATATAAATATTTATTTTTGGCTGCGTTGGGTCTTTGTTGCTGTGTGCAGGCTTTCTCTAGTTGCTGTGTGGTGGCTTCTCATTGTGGTGGCTTCTCTTGTTGCGGAGCACAGGCTCTAGGTGCGTGGGCTTCAGTAGTTGTGGCACGCAGGTTTAGTTGCTCCATAGCATGTGGGATCTTCCCGGACGAGGGCTCGAACCTGTGTCTCCTGCTTTGGCAGGCAGATTCTTAACTACTGTGCCACCAGGGAAGTCCTGGCATTAAGTTTTAAAAAAGTACTAAGAAAATTTTTGCTTTCCCGTTGTAAAGTCTTGGCTTCAAAATTAAGTATTATCTAAATGAATATGAACATGGATGAGAGCTAAACGTTTCCTAGACTACTTGCTCCCGTTTAAAAAAAAATCTTAAAGTTTTGGTTAGGGAATTGCAACATCAATTAGTATATAACGAGTTAAATTTACCTCATTAAAATTCAGAGAGGGTAGGGAGGATGTAACTAATGTAGGCTTATAAAACAGAAGATCATTCTATTTACAGCAAGATAAAACCACACTGCTGTATTTCGTAGTTTATTCAGTTTTAATATGGTTTCCATTATTAACTTTTAAAACAATGATTTCCAGTTTAGAAAACAATGCACTGACCACATAATTCCTTTTTTATTTTATACAGTTATACAAATATTCTAAATACACATTTTGTGTTCAAGATGATGGCAAATAAGATTAACTGTACAGTACATAAGGAAAGAAAATATTTTAAGCATATTTAGAAGCAATAGAAATGTCTATACAAAACAAGCAAAAATGGAATAAAATTTTTTATTTTTAAAGTATTGCAACAGGCCCACAGGTTTGTAACAAAAAAGTCTTTGCACAGTTCCTCACAATGCCCCATTAATAGCTAAAGCAAGACAGCGGTTTTAGAAAATAATGTTTCAAAATGCTACACATGGTACTATTGTTTGCACAGTTTGATCAAAATAACAACTCTACTCTGAGTCAAGCAAAACCTAGAGGAAATATACCAAACAACTTGAAAATCATTTGTATAAAATTCATTGCACATTATTTTACTTAGTTTGAAAAGTAAAAAAGTGTATTTACAAAATATTTCGCAGTCAAAATTATGAAGTGAATGGATATAACACGTCTTGATACAGACAGGTCAAGGAAAACACGAATGTTTTTTTAAAGAGGTTTTCAGTGCTCCTTCCACAGGGAAGTAAACATGATCTACTCAAATGGATTTACAAGATGTTATGCATACCGTAGCAAATTCGACACCTGCATTATAAAACAATGTTGAAAAGGCAAAAGGATGAGGGGTTTGTACACTGTAAGAAGTGAGCTATTCAGAGATCAACAAGTACAATTTTTAACTCAGCATAAAAGTCTTCATAGTCTTCAGATAATAGACAGACAATGAACATACTTGACTCGATGGAAGTTGAAAAAGCACCATGCACAACAGTTTAGTGGTAAACACTGAAAAAAATAGCACCTGGAATTCTGTGATATTGACAATTTAAAACTGGTCTAGTAATTGCCGGAGATATGGTGCCTTGGATAATTCTCTATTTACTCGGGAGAGTTTGTAAAGTACTGGGCAGTTCAGAGAAACACACGGGATATGTCGATCAAGGCAACCTGTACAGTTCTTGCATATCTGAAAGTACAAGAGGAGTACATCAAATGATAGGAAAGTTTCTATCTAGATGTATAAACAACAAACTTTTATAATCCCTCCTTTATGACCCACCACAGATTACAGGCAGACATATGGCACATATTACAGAAAGTTTCATTAATTTTCATTTCTTTGAAGCATAGCCAACCCTAAGTTGACACATTTCTAAAGGATATTATTTCACAAACCACAGAGCACAAAATTCCCTAAGGATTCATTTCATCCCAAAGATCAACTTTCATTTATGGTAGAATCCTATTATATTAACATACACATAATAGGCTACCCAATTACCATTCAAAGACTGTCTCTTAAATGTGCTTATGTACACTATTCTTTCAAGTTACTCATATTAAACATTTTGTATGCCAATCATAAAAATGTTACCCACTTTCTTATTTCAGAAGAGAAAATGCCAGTATGGGGAAAAAAAATCAAAGCATGTGAATTTGAAAGTAGTAGTGCAGACCAGTAGTTTCAACCCTGGCTTACATACATGAGCCTAAAAATAGACTAATGCCTCAGCCCCATCCCAGACCAATGAATCAGGATCTCTGGGCATAAGAGCCTAAGAATCTGTACATTTTAGGGTTCTCAGGTGATTCTAATGTATAATGAGATCTGATCTAAAGGAAAATAATAAATCATAAGGCAATTTTTAAAGAGAAGCATTATAATGTCTTACCCAGTGATCAGATTTTAATATGTAAAGTCTAAAGTTATACATACAGTTTAAAAAATTGATAAAACATGAAAAACGTTAAAGGCTACTAGTGAGGGCCCCAAGGGTCAAGAAAATATATGCTGATTTTTTATGTGAATAGTGTATCCAAGTGATTAAAAAAAGGGATAGCAAATAGCAGCTACCATACTAACCTTTTAAGAGAGAAATCAGATCTGCTCCACTTAATTCTCTGATCTGTATCTAACAGCTTCTGTTTTAGAGGTCTCACAGGGCAAACAATTTTTGTTCTTTGCGCCAGTATCTTCCAGTCAATTGAAAGGCCCATTTTTCTGAGCACGCTGGTTACTGTACCAGTATTATGATACTGCCACAAGCAAACTACTGAGAGCCCTGTGCTTCAGCATGCTCTCTTGAAGAGTAAGTGTGCTGCTGTTCTACTTTGAAGACTTTCACTAATTAGATCTCTGCCAAGAGACTCAAACCTACTCCCAAATATGGAATGTCTGCACTGCAGCTCTATGTACTGCAGCTACATTCAGGTGCCAGGACAAACTGATAAATATTTATGCACTTGCTGTGCTTGCCTGATAAATAAACCAGGATGGAATTAATTGCCTCACTAAATTTAACTCAATGTTTAGTTTCAAGATCCTTTACTGGTGATTTAAACCCCGAGCAGCTTACGTTTAAAACTTTAAACACCACAACCTGGAAACTTGCATTTTAGCAAACGTAAAACAAAAACTGCTTTAATATTTAATGATTCTTTTTGCTATCCTTTGGTTTACTTTGTTTTTTAAAAAATTTTCAGTCAGATGCTTAAGTTCATTTTTTATTAAAAGTGTTTAAGTTGATGAATTTTTCTTTGAGATCTGCTATGGTTGTCTAGAATTTATATGTGTTGTTTGTTTAACAGGGAGTGTTAAAATTTCCAAGTAGAAGGATCATTTTGTTTTCTGAGTTTATAATTAACTTACTAGCTTTATAGAATTGTATTGATAAAATGCTTGTAATACTTCAACCTTCTGAAGTTTATTAAGGTTTTCTTTATAGACTAAAATATGTTCAATTATTTAACATTCCATAAACAGTTGAAAAGAAGGTGTAGTCTCTAATGTTGGATAAGGTCTATCTTATAATGTTGTGTAGATCTTTAATAATTGTACTGATTTCTGATCACTTGACTGGTCTTGGGCTGAGAGGTGTATCAAATCTATTACTAATGTTTCTGACAATTTCTCATTTTATCTCCTGTAATTTCTGCTTTATGAAAATTCCTACAGATGATTTAGTGCACAGGAGACACACATTTTAATCCTCTTAGGAAAAAAACAATCCTAAAGTTAAAATATCCCTTTAAAGATGATGAACCATCCCTATTTTAAACAGCATTACTTTTAAAACTGCATTTTTATAAGAAATAAGACCTAATATTGAAGGAAGGTTGTGGTTAAATTGATGGCACCAACTAGCATAGTGCATGTTGCTGGGGACAGAAGACAGTAAGGTCCAGGGAAGAGGCCACTCACAGCCTCTGACGTCAGTGGAGCTCTGGAGGTCCTGCCCATGTTTGCACCTTGTACTAGATGCCAACTAGGGAATTTTCTATGAGGGCTGGTTGCTGCCATTGGGGTAGTAACCTAAAAAAAACAGAAGCTGGGGTCACCCAGTGACTAGTGGTTGTACTAACCAGAACCACTAGTACAAAGTGGTACAAAAACTGGGACAGAGTGGCTGCAAATTGGTTGGCAGTCACTCCAGTGACTTACTGCTGCTTTAACTGTGCATTCAGCAAGAAGCTGTTTCTTCACTTAATACATGTGTTCGACCCACCATGGGCTGGACTCTGTGCTAGGCACAGCCAACTCAGCAAGGGAAGGGCAGGGCCTCTGCCCTCACTGGGCTCACTTTCTCTTCGGTGGGGAAGCTCGAGCTAGTGTTGAGAATGGACAGGATGGCGGGGGATCAGGGTAGGAGGCTGTTGCAGGAGTCTGGGGAGAGATAACGGTGGTTGGACTAGGATGGTAACATAAGGGAAGGAGAAAGTGAGCGTACTTAACAACTATTTAGGAGAGGGAAAAGCCACTTTATCATTTCAGTAAGCTAGGCTTCTGTGATTGCATCAAAATAATCATACCTTGAGATCTTACTGTCCTTAATGAAATCTGTTTAATGCATTCTGGATGACTGGCTATACACTATACAACTTAAGAGTTTTCTGCCAGTGCAGAATAGCAGCTAGAATGGTGCAGAGGAAACAGTGTCTACTTTAAAGAGCCTAGTCTCTCAAGAGATGGTTTCTCTCCCTTTTCAACTGTGTGGCAGCTAGGTTGTCCTCCTAGGAGGTTGTGGATACTCTGACTTGGTTCAAAAGCCTTTTTACCTTGAGGGGCATGGTGTAGAACCTGGCCTTTACATAGGTGGTTGGATTACATTAGGCATATGAACAGACGAGCTGCCAGGAGTGGTCGTTTAGGAGAATTCACAATGGTAGAGCTAGATAGGACCTAGGAAAGAGCATCAACCCACATTCTGAGAAAACTGGGGCCAGAGGACATGCCAGTACTATGAAGTCCAGACTGGAATCCTGATGTTCTTACTATCAGCTTGATTAATTTTCCACTATATCACACTGCCTTTCAATTATTTGGTTGGTTTT